CAATAAATGTGAAAATTAACTTTCCTTTTCTTTGATCATTTGCAAAATGATGTTGTAAAAATATTCTGATTGTACTCACAAGTACTCTGAATTTGACATCAAAATGATGCTTACGTTTGTGCCCGACAATATCTATGAAGCAGAATTTGTCCCAAATCTTATATGTGAAAAGAAAACCAAACACTTGCTGTGACCCTCAACTCGATATTTAGATATATCGATGACGTATTATCAATTGACAATGGTTATTTTATATTCATATGACGATACGATATACCCCGGTTAGCTTCAGGTGAAGGATATCATAGAGTTTGACACATCTGTTTTAAATTTGGATGTTTTATTTGAAAAAGACGTTAAGGGTAACTTCACAATCAAAATCCATGATGAACGTGATGACTTTAATATTTTTAATCGTCAACTTACCTTATGTATTCAGCTATATACCTTCATCACCTGCATACGGAGTTTATATTTATATATCTCAGTTGATTCGATACGCAATAGCATGTTCTATGTACGAGTGAAACTATTGAAAATAGGTCGATGAAACAAGAATATCATCAGTATCGTTTAAAATCATCATTTTGTAAGTTACTTACTCTAATGAATTAGACGATTGATTAAAGTCGTCACGTTTATCATTGAGCAGGTTAGATTTCCTTTACATGCATTCTCTAATGATTAAGATCTACGGTAACTGTTATAAGTCAGATGAACTTGCTTATAGCTATAAAATGAAATATCAAAGAAAGATAACTCTTCACGATTTAAGAAGATATTGAATTCATTGTTACTTCCTTTTATGCAGTAAAAATAATTAATGACACCTGTCAGGGAAGTCTATGTATGACTACCATAATATCGTATTGTCCCATTGAGATTACTGTATAACTTTATATAAATTCTAGTATCAACAGTAGTATCATTTGTCATAAAAATTGAAAATGGAGACAGATGCCAATTAAGGGCAAGCAAATACGAATTTTTGGCTGGGGTAAATGTAGCTATCAAGCACAATAAAAGCTATTAACAGGACCTGCTTAAGACAATTTATCATGGGAACAGAAGAAGAAAGTAGTTATGATCTAAAAAACACTCTCTAAAATACTACCCTAGCAAAATAAAGGGGAGGGGGACAGTCCCTGCATATGAAGGTAAACATTTATCGACAATTTTCACAGAGTTTGTATTCATTGTAAAACTAAAATAACTTTTTAACAGTATTTCATTTAGTCAGGAAAAGTATGCAAGAGTTAAATATCACTGTGTCAGGGCTCCTGCGTAGTAGAGCGACGTGCCTTTATGACATGAACTCAATTTTATAAATGAGAAGTTATTTTTAGAAACACTCGTCTTTTATATGAATGATCATGGAATATATTTATCGTGTGTCTTATTTGACCAATCAGATTAATCTTCTATTAGTCTGGATAATCGATTCATAAAGTCAATCAAATCACATGTTATTTAACCCTCCAATAAAACTTATCTTCTCTAGCATTTGATGCCAAGGATGATCCTTGAATACTTTTTGGAATGTATAAAAAAAACACGGAAAACATAACTGTAAATGACAAAGTCTTTTTTTTAATAAATTCTTACTTTAGAACAATGATCAATTGAAAACATAAGCAAGAAATTTTTCCCACAAATAAATCAAAATGATTTTACGATGATTTATCAAATGAATTTTGTTTAACTTTGCAATCGTTAGAACTGTTGAAAAATTGCGAAAAGATTGTGTTGATTGACTTTCAACAAAACAATGCTCAAGGTTCCCTTTTTCATCTAGGTGAAGTGTTCGAGAAAATATGTATGTACTTCTGTCACGCGAAGTTGATGAATTTTTGTTCTTGTATCTATTAGATTGTGATGCAGGTTCGATTAAAGTCTGAAGACAACAAATGCAGTGTTCACACTTTTGAGTCAAATAAGACAATACAGTTTGGAAGCAGAGCAAACACAACCCTTTATTGATAGAAGCATCATAGATGGAATTACGTGGCTGTAGGATTATGCATCCATTGTCTAGTAGTCATGCCCACCTATGTGATATTTGTTAGGATCAGGCATATGAAAAAATACATAGACAACTTAGAGTGAAAGTAATTACCAAACAGTTTGTATGAAATCGTCAATAACTTTTTGACAAAAGGTTAATTTGTATTTGCTGACATGGTCATTTTATCAATATTAAAGTTTGCAAAATGATGACTATGAACAAGATGGTTGATTTCCAAGAACTAGAAATCAATTATTCAAAACCTTGCCTCGTTTATGAAAACGCTTTACGTAACACGTTAATGCACTTGCGTTTCAAATTAACTGGGCGACATAAAATCCAAATGCAGAAGATAAGGGTATTTTGCTACATAAAGGAGGGAAACGTACGAAAGAAATTAAAGTAAAATCATCAGTTTTATCGGAAATGTTATTTGGTTAACAGTATTTATTGAGAATGCAAATACGCACCATCCCTTTCAGACTCTAGAGTATTTTATTGCAATTGAGTTCTAATGAATATATAAAAACATATATAGTAAGATAAACGTCGTCTATATATTTGAATTTCAATTTGAAGGTCACAGCAAGAATCTTATTTTTCATGTGAGATTTTTTTTAATTCTTCCTAGGAATAAAAAATAACAGGGAGTGATCAGAACCCATGAAAATTCAAAAAGATTGTAACACAGGTCTTGTCCATTAGAAACGCAATGATATCAACGTCAGAGTTTTGTTGTGGATAACCAGAATGTTAAATTTTCTAATGCAAAATTATTTTGTATACCGAAGGAGTAGAATGTTAAATGTCATTTCCACTTTTAAAACATTTAGATGAAAAATGAATGTATAGGAAGAATACCAATGCATAAAATAATGTTATTAAGTAATCATGTTTATGTAATGTGTGTTTTATTTGCTCACTATTTGGAAAATATATGAATTAAGTTCAATGTATTTTTTTTTTCAAACATTGAGTGGTTAAAGTCCAAAAAAAAAATTTTTTTTAATTTTTAAAAAGTGCATATTTTTATAAATTTATTTAGAGAGTGTATGTAAATTAACCATTATAATAACATATATGCTCGAATATTTTGTAGACAAGTAAATGCATTTTGCATTAATATAAAAACAACGCATTTAACCTTTTTAGAATGGCATTGTATTTTTGTTTTATTCCAAGTGCCATGATGCGTTAGTCCATTGTGTAGAAAATTATAATTTGTTACGATTCAACATGTATGAAATTTCGTTTTCCCTTATACGGCTTCCAACGTTTGTGACGTCAGCATAAAATAATAACTGTGATATTTTGACTCTCCTGTCTCCGTGTTGTTTTTTCAATACTAAATCTTTAAAATCTAAAACCAGACGTTCTGATGGGCGATTGAAGTATACCAAAGAGAGCGTAGAAGTATAAGAGGGTTATTAGAAATTTGCGCACCTGTCTTTGTGTATACATATGAAGTATTCTCTGTAAAATTTCAAATACTAAACGATAATTCATCTGTCGCTGGAATCATTTTCATTTTAAATTGCAAATGAACTTGGAATTTCTTGAGAATGCAACATATATCTACTGTAGAAATGTAAATCAAAACAAATGCAAGTTAATTACAAGTTATCAAATAATTACCAACGGTGTAAATTTGAAAAAACCTCTAATATTTCATGTTACAAAAGAAAGTTGTTTAGTTCTAATATAATGTTTCTACCTCATGTACACGTGACATGTAACTTACGTACAGCTTTAGACAATATACTGTACTGTATTCACATTGAATATTTTATCAAGAAGGCAAACTCTTAATTTTGCCTACAATTCATCAAAATGAACATTTTTGTAAACATGAATTCCACATGCACGTACATACTTTCTTGAACATCAATCAATCATTGATTTACAGAAGTGACATTTCGAACTGACATTATTAATTATTTTTGTGTAATATTTCACATTTTCAAACCTATTGATATCAATGACATAAAAAAATGCAACACCCATCAGTATTTCCTTCAGGTTTTTAGTATTCCCCTGAAAATTCATAGAAACTTTTTTTGTTCTGAATTTGCTTTTCGTTTTCTCTACGAAAAAAATCTTTACCTTCATTTAAAATGATCTTGAAGCAAGACATATATGATATAGCCAGTCTAGAAAATATGTACTTTAATTTGGTTTTATTTCAAATTATTTTTCATCATTCTTAATTTTCAACAAGCCAAAAAGAAACTTGAAAATTATACAATGCATTTAATTTCACTTTTTTCAACAATCTGTAGATTTTTCTGTTAGAAATATTTAAAAACCATAAGAAAAATGATTTTTATTACTATTTGAAAGTAATCTTTTGTTTGTGTGCAGTAGACTGTTAAAATCTGTATTTTCTTTGCAGTGTTTACTCTTAATTTTTAAATGTTGTTTTATCTCAGTGGCATTTGTCATAACATTTTAAATTAATTGCACTTTTTTTTTACAATAGGTAGATTTCGTGAAAGAAAAGAAAAGACATGAGAGCCTCGCCCTTCTTCTTGGGCAAGGTCTTTATAATTAATATTTCAAATTGCTGACCACACATGCATACGCGTAAAGTAATTATTTAAGATGCATTCTTCTGAGACGCCCTATTGATGGAAAATGTTTAACATTAAGATCTGGGATGTTAAAAAGTTATATATTGGTTTTGACACCCTTAAACAAGTACTTTGGATATTGATAAAACAAAATAATTGAAAATAAGTGCCATTTATCGACACATAGATCATCTTTTGTGGTTGCTTTGATGGGCGTGGATATAAACGTTTAACACATTATTAATTATTACATCAAAATATATGTTACCCTGACAGTTAAACATGTCTTCAATGTGACAAAAGCTAAAGATTAAATGATGTCTTGGGTTTACCACAAACACAAACCAATCATTGTTTTTAAATATCATAGAAAAATCTGGAAAGGCAGGGCTATAACCTTACATACAAAATGTTCATAAAATGAATGAAAAAACGGAGCCTTTATTTTATTGTAAACATTGTGAAATCCAGGACTCGGTACAATAAGCTGGAGCTGTTTCATGATAATGAAAGTAGGCACCAACCCTAACAGCGGAGTAAAATATCTCGGCGGAATGCTGGCAGTTAATGAGACGTTTCTTTCCAGTGCAAGTAGCCATCATATGGTTCAAGAAAAGTTTGTCACATGCAGCCCGATCAAAGCCAAATCGGTGTCCCTGTCAAAAGATTATCATTTGAAATAGATAAAATACCAATATAATCTTAATAATATAATAATAAACAGTAGTTCCATTAAATTTTTTTATCAATATTGACATGAATAAAAAAAAAGTATCTTTCTTACCCTTATTTGATGTTATCTTCATTATAAATAAAGTTTTGAATACTGCTCGTTATCTCAATATGTTTCATTTTTAATTTTTTATTAAAACATTGACCAGTTTTCTATAAAATTACCTGCAATTTAATTAAAAATATACATTTTATTTAAAATATTTAATTTTTATCCCTTATCTTCTTTTCGATAGGAAAACAATGCATTTTCAAAAAAAATGGACATGGCTGATTATGATTTGTTTTTCATTATCGTCAAATACGTATAAATAATATAGAATACTTGAAGTCAAATATTAATGCATTCTGAACCTTTTTCAAGAGTGACATTTTAATTACATACTAGTTATTTAAAGGAAAGAAATTACAAATGTTGACCGGGAATCTCTTTGTCACACACACAAAAAAAAATAAAAGTAAAGTAAATAGATCGTTGTTTTCGTGATTTTTATATACATATAAATACCAGAAAAAAACGTAAAGCGAATAATAAAACAAATCTTTTTCATGTATAAACAGCTAAATTAAAATCTTACACAATCATAGCAGACGTCGTGCTTATTGCAGGAAGGTGTAAATTGAGCCTCGTAATCAAAATGGAGAAGTGGAACACTGCATCCATCCACCGCTCCTGCAGGAGCATTGTCCATACATACATCACTTCCGGAAATTTCCAAAACAGCTACCACATACAACACAATCAGACTAACAATGCCCTACAATAAAAAAATGCATTTGATGATAAATGTAAAAGAAAAAAGAAATTTTCATTTGGGATATAAAAACGTTTTTTTAGTTTTTTTTTTAATTTAAGGTTTATATACTACTTTCTTTACATAAATAAAGAAAGTAGAATACTCAGTATTTCTTTGTTGAATTTCTATAGATCTTCATTATGTTTTTTAATGTTTATGCTTTTATTTTGATTCCTCAATGTCTGATCTCTAAAAGTTATATTCTTCATATCACACACCTTATAATCAGACGAAAGGTCATTGTATTAACAGCACTAGGTAATCTACCGAGACAGATTAAAGAAAATTTCAGGCATATTTCGTAATGTGCGTCATCAACGACATACATTTATTGAATTTTCATGTATAAAGAATGCAGATATTATAATATCTACATGTCCTTTAATCGTTTTTAGAAGATTTTCCTATTTTTTTGTATTTGTAATTGATAATTGATATTGATAAACTAATTAAAATAAGGATAAAAGCATGATAGAAATCAAATAAAAGTAAATCATGCCTCTTTATTAAATATTCGATTGAATTTTTCCTTTAGCTTCTCAAAATTAAATACATAATGCTAATTTATTTTGAAGATTAAGGAATACGAAATAAAGCCTAACTGAATCGTTTAAAATCGCCAATAAACTCTTATTTAAATAGAAGTTTAGTTTATAATTTGTATCCTTTTCTGATTTTTATGATTATCAAAGCGTTGTTTTTCACTTAGCACCCCTGTATTAGAAGAATTGATTTTGAGACCTATTTTCTGCAGGGTTAATCAGGTATTGGAATTCACGTGCCACGATTTAAAATTAATTAAGGGATCCGACAGATCAACTTACCTGCATGATTTAGCAAATCCTCTTATAGTATTGTATGATATCTCTTATACCATATCTTATCAAAATAAATCGAGTGGATAAAATGTCCATTTCCTAAGTCTTATTCTGGTGACTTCAGTACAGGTCACGCAACAGATTCGTCAGAATGATAGGGCTTAATAATGTGACCGTGGATCACCAGTAAATGTCCACAGACCGTTATCAATATTTATTGCATCCGTCTTTCAATGTTTGGAGATTCATTATTAGATATAGCTAGAAAATTAGTTGAGTTCAATTTTAAACGGATCTTTAAGTATGCGGGTCATTTTGTCACAAATATTCGATACCTGTTTAAGTGTATCCTATCAAAGTTTTTAATTTAGATTATTAATAACTCTTATTTAAAGATATGTGTCAGAAGAAACGATAAATTATCAAATACTTTGAAAGGAAAGATGGGTTCATTCCGTATATGTAGCTTTCAGTTGGGCGAAACAGAATATTAGCAGCTTTTTAGTTGAAAATGAAAATGATATATCTTCAGTGTAATGACATTACATCCATCACTTTGAAATTGAATTGAATTTGTCACTTTTTTCAAGGTTACCTGAAAATATGAAAATGTCTTTCATTAAAGAAACATTAATAATCTGACAAAAAATGTAATTGGGTAATTAATCACCACCAATTAATGTTAACGAAGTTCAAAAATTTTATAAAATGATAAAAAAAAAGAAATGGTGAGCTTCTTGATCAAACATTTAAAGGCCTTACAAAAACCCTCTGGGGATAGATATTTTATAAAGACCCGTAAATTTCGGTGTGCAAATAATTTACTTCCATTCTTAAAAACGCTGTAAAAACATCCATTAAGGCATGCGACTTAAGATACAAAAAGTTTGTTTATTTTTAAAACTTTTTTGGAATTTGCTTTGAATATGCAAGATATTATTCATAAAGTACAAATTATTGTTTTAACTAGTTATATCACATTTGAACGAATACATGTAGGAACGGTAGTTTTGAAATGTCATGACATTTCACAGACCAAAGATTATCATTAAAATCTTTGACTATTCTAAATAACTATGTTTGATCAGTCCATCTTATCTGTTTTAAGAATCAGATTTTTTTTGCAATTCAACAATAACACCCAGTCAAACCCCTTGTCAACAACTCGTAAACAGTCTTTATGTAATTAACAGAAAATCTGCGCTTTAAAAGACATAATGACAATAAAACCTTTCATCGCGTACTTTTAACACAGAAAACATACCGGGACATCTACAAGGAAGAATGTTAAACCCATTGTTCTTTACAACAGAGACTGAAGGTTTTTGTGTATTAGCTTTTAAGTGGTTAAGAATGTAATCTGATTTAGAAGAGTCCATGGCCATCTATATAGCTTGCTGATTGTTAAAGAACACCTCAGAACCCGCGACAAACGTTTGAGAAACACACGACAAGGAATTTTGTTCCTGTAATTCTAAGCTTCGACAATGGAATTTATGTCCGCTACCGACAGAGTGAATGCTGCATTCGCTACTTTGCAGTCTGAGTTGGTGAGGGATAATTTATAAATTTATTACCTGTATTCACTGTTTAGAAATACATTACTGTTTAAATCTTTTTAGAATCTTGTTTAATCATTCGATAAAGTAATACCAAAATAAGAAATGATATTGTTTAGTTTTCATCATTCTAAAGTTATTTATCAATAATTGATCCAAACAAATGTTGCAATGTTCAAAAGAGTTTACAGAAAATGTTAGATGTTATAAATTGAAAACTTGACTAAAACAATTTATATTTCATTTCTGCTTCATTTTCTAATTAAACTGAAAATACTTTTCAGAGAGAAATCAGAACACAAGACATCAGTCTGATGAAGCAGCTACTTAGTATCAACGATTCCATCCAGAGTCTGTCCAAGAAAAAGAGCGACAAGTCACGCGCCAGGAGAATGACAAGAAAAATCTCCCGCAAACCAGCACTGGCGGAAATCACAGACGAGGACCAAACATACAGCAGGAAGGACGAAATCAAACTCCTAACTAACATTAAATTATGGAAATACTCCCAGTCAGAAGAATCCAGCTCGGGATCAGAGTCAGAAATCTTGTCTGACTAGAAAGTGCCTCAACTGATTCCAGAATACCTCATTTAACGACGGTCTCTCTTAAAGCTGATGCATCAAGTACCCCACTTTCTCGACAAATCAGTTTTAGAGGTACACAGACCGGATTAAGAACAACCTTCATCAGACTCTGACGTTTTTGTTTTTTGTTATTTCTCTCGTCGCCTTTCATTGATAAAAGTAGGGTTTTGTAATGAAGGACGATGACAGAGCCAGGCAATAGTAGCGATAGTTGCTGTTACTTTGATTGGTTTATTGTCTTTTAATGGATGTTTTTTTCTTTGTTTGTTCATGTTTGTTTTTAAATGCATGCAAGTATTCTCTGTATGAATATTTTTTGTCAAGTGCATATTTGTGTTGATTTCGACGAAGTCTTTGGACGGATTCAAATATTTCTTGTTTTGTGCAATGTAAGATTTTTTTCAAAAATAATTTTCTCGCCTTTTTCAAGAGAAATGTTAAAAAATTAGTTCGATATTTTCTGATATTAAACTCTTTAAAAGTATTTAAATATCATTGTTCTCAGTTATATACATTTTAAAGAAATCAAGATTTGGTTGATCATATTCAACTTAATTGAATTTATTTTTTTAAACGTGTTCGATAACAGATCAAAATTTTTTAGCTTATGTTTTGTGTCCCAAGTAAGACTTTGTATTTGTGTCTGTGTTTTTTACATGTTGTATGTTTGTCCACAACTTTAACTTTGACCTATTACCAAGCTTTGTGTTAAGTTCAGTTATGGGTCAAAGTTAGAGCCTCTTTAAAACTTAAAGTAATGCATGAAGACTACAAGTCTAAAAAGAAATTGGATAGTTTCGGTTATGTTACAGGTATAAAATATTATGTTATTCATCATAGAGAATACTTTTGTCAAATGTCAAAACATTTAAGAAATATTATTGTTTTCATATGATATTTTTTATTCATAAATTTCTAAATATATTTTAAAAAGAAAATCAAGATTAATTTTGATATCTATTTTTCATGAAAATTCAAAATTTATCAAAAATTATAGAGCTGTTACCATTATTATAATATTTTTGTTAAATACTTTGGAATAAAGACTCTAAAATGCATGGTATGTTTTTTTTCATTCTTCGTAAAATGTAACATCTGTTCGTTACAGCCTTAATGTTTAAATAGTTTCAAAAAACAAAGGTTAAACTAACCAAACTAAGAACAAGGTATGGTTATCATACAAATCTTGCCCTGTGATTGTCTAAAAAATGAAACGGGTATAAAAGATGAAAACCCATGCTTTCTGAATCATTAGAATTCCATGCAAAAAAAATCATACACATTAATTCTCTCACACATGTTTTAAATGCTTATTTTGATGTCATAAACATGTGCATTTTCCCGTATTTTCTTAAAAAGTTGCAGAAGACACCAATTTTCAATGAAATTTTCTTTCAGACAATATGGTCCACAGGCATCGCCTACAAAGTTTTTGAGATATGAGATTTTTTTATTGACTTTTGCACATATAAAAAAAATAAAGTGGGCGATGGCTGTGGACACTATCGTCTAAAGGAAAATTACTGTAGAAGTACTTTTTTCCTCGTGGTATTGATTTACGCTATCTACGCGGTCACTAATTTTCCGCGGAAATTTGTCCAAGCGTACTTAATATAAATGTAAGGCATATAGTGACAATCTAGAAAATCCGTGTAATTTTCTACCCGCGGATTCAACAGAAATTGAGATTCCGCGGAATTATGACCCCGTGGAAAAAAGTACGTCTACAGTACCCTTGAATTGGACCATTTTGAGGTATTTCTGTTGAAAATAGAGAAATGCGTCACAGTAATGACATCATATTTGCAGAATGGTAACCATTTATGGCATATTCTTTCCTGATTTATGTCATATACTTAACTAATATTAAGCCAGTTTCAAAACTGTTTGATGGCAATACATTTTTAGGGCATAATAAAGCTAAAACCAATAAAACCATACCTTCCTCTTTATTAAATACTAAAGATTTTTTTTACTACTATGCTTATCGTGCAGAAAGAAAATGTATAAAAAAGAAAAAAGTGCAATGGTAGTTTTCACTCCAGCACATATGAGATTATATTCGGTAAATAATTTGAGTTGCAGACAAAATACGAGATGCTTTGGAGTACATATATGTTTGAATAGGCATTTCATAAACACCTGATTGAGCTTGTCTTTATTTCTGGAATAAACACCCCGAGGATTTTTTTTTTTAAAAACTTACACTAACGTCATAATTAAAATTTTAGCATTGTAGCAAATATATGACTATGATGAAGTAAAAAAAGAAAATTAAATTAATGCGTTTGATTTGCGAAAATATAATTTTGGAATTTAAAGGACATATAAAATGTACGATATGTCAACAATGAAATTCGCTAGACAGCATACAACCTATTTTCATTCATACTTTGATGGGAAAACATAATTGATAAATAGAAAACTTGTTTCATGCTGACAAGGATGAATAAATATAATCATTTTGTGTGGGCATTTCCTTTGCTGAACATGAACAAAATTAAAAAGTTGTAAGTTAAGCATTAATTGTCATAAAATGCGTTTTTATTCCATCTAAAATTACGCAAAATTATTAATAACTTTGCACTTTTGTACCACGTGAACAAATTGGTCACGACGACCCACCCTATGAGTTTCTCTAATATGTATGTTTAATGAAAATGACCTCTGATAGTTCAAAATAAATCTTAGATAAAAAAAAATAGAAGTAAAAACAAAAATAAACTTCAAATACTTTTATGTAACCCTAGTGATCAGGCTAGACTACCGCAATAGTTGAAATATAACAAACAATGTATACTGAGTGAGAATTGTCATTTATTAAATGACAATAAGTATATAACACATATAAAGTTAAGGGGAGATCACCGGGATATTTCCTGAGTAAAAAGAACAATAAATTTGGCAACGGTATCTCCCCTGTTGCAAACAAACATTACTTTGGCAAAAATATTTTGACAAATAAAAAGTATATAAACCACAAAGTTGTCAAAACAAAAAGCTGACATGACAAAAGTTGCAACGATGGCAATTAAGATGGCACAAGGTATATATTATGAAAAAGAAAAAATACAAAACATAATTTTGAGACTACAATATTTTATCATGGAGTATGAAGGGGGACGGAGGGTGGGTAAATTTCTAAAAACAAATTTGTGAATTTCTTGGCACTTCTAAATCAGTGAAAAGACGCTATCTTGTGTCACGTGATTTGCATAAGCGTTACGATTGGATAATTACAACTTTTTACTAAAGGAGACAGCTAATAACACAATAAGACTCAAACAAACATGAAAATTGAACTACATTACATCATAGATTACATAAAGGCTATTATTTACAATAATGCTGTATTATGTAACCCTAGTGATCTGGCTAGACTACCGCAATAGTTGAAATATAACAAACAATGTATACTGAGTGAGAATTGTCATTTATTAAATGACAATAAGTATATAACACATATAAAGTTAAGGGGAGATCACCGGGATATTTCCTGAGTACAAAGAACAATAAATTTGGCAACGGTATCTCCCCTGTTGCAAACAAACATTACTTTGGCAAAAATATTTTGACAAATAAAAAGTATATAAACCACAAAGTTGTCAAAACAAAAAGCTGCCACCAAAAGCAAACTGCTATGAAAAGCTGTTTGCAAAAAACACAAGGCCAAAACAGGTGGACTAGCCAGATCAACAAAATCAGGCAGTCTACAGAACATTATATCTATATACAAAATCTTACAGTCTACACAGCATTATAACAACACAAAATCATACAGTCTACACAGCATTATAACAACACAAAATCATACAGTGTATATAGCATAATAAGCATATAATAACCTTAAATCATACAGTCTATGCAGCATTATTATACAACACAAACAATAAAATGAGCAAGGCTCAGAATGTCAAGTACAATGGAGTAGCAACATATTGAAAGTTATTACTAATACATAAATGAACAAAAATTACAAATCATTTGGTTCAAAACATGATGGTGAAACATGAACCAGTAGGCACAGTTTGTGTTATAAGTGGTAAGAAAGAAAATTATTTTAAAACAAATGTATCTAATTATATTAAAAATGGTATGAGGAAAAAACAGAATGTTTACCCAGCAGTTTACTTCTGTCCTGAGCAAGCTTTGTATGTAAAAATTTTAAAAGTATGCACTGACACAGCAGTTTACTTCTGCCCTGTGTATTTAGGCGTGAGGCAAAATTAGAAAGACTGATTAGGAAAATTACATAGCAGTTTACTTCTGACCTATGTGACAATATCTAACCATAGGGACTTACAGGACTAGATTCGAATTCACAGAGCAGTTTTGGAATGCTTTCAAATAACATATTAAATAACGAAGCTCTGTAAACGGATATATCTCCGTACAGCATCTGAATTCCACCTGCCCATTTTCTGTATGCAATTCTCAGAAAAACCTTGCTGGGCTGCATGAGTTGCAGCTCCTATGCGAAAGCTATGACCTTTATATAGGGCAGGGTTTAAACCAATGAACAAAACTGTGTTGTGTAAATTTTTTGAAACAAATGCATAAGGAACTGGGTCACCTCCCATAAATTGGAAGAGGGGACCAGACTGGTGATTAAAGGCTTGAAGATAGAGATATAATGCCGAAACCAGGGCACATGTCACTGTTGTCCAATGCTCTCAGGTGAATCTGGAAAAGGTCTTTTTTCTTATTTGTTTTGAAATTTTTCAGTAAAAGGACAACTGCAGAGGGGGAGTTGTTTGAAAATTCAAAAGAAACCTCTTCTCGTTGAATGACCGTGTTTAACGAACCTTTTGTTTTTACTACAAGTTCACCCAAGCGTAAAAAGGCATTAAATGCCAACAGAAAAATAGCCTTTAACATGATTCTATAGTGTAGATTTTGCACAGATTTTTGTAAACCGCAAACTAAGTTATGTAGAATGGGGCCCGTTATTGGTAACCTGGTGTCTTTGTTAGGAGCCGAACGGTGACATCCCTGCATTATTTTCCGGACCAAAAATGCATCTGATGGATCTGAGAGACCAAGAATTTTATGTAGATAGCTTATGGCTGATATATGAGATGATATGCTACTAGGGGAATAACCTATGGTAAAGAGGTGAGCAATGAAGTTCGCTGTCACTGAAGAGGAAATTGGTAGCGAGGTCACAGTGGGGTTGAACTGTAGCAACAAATCCCAGCTTCTTTTGTAGGCAGACTTGGTGGTGTTGGACAAGGCTGCTGACAGAAGGTGGTGTGCTTGCTGACTCAAATTGCCAATGACTTCAGTGGTATTTGGGTCTGTTGTTGGTTTAGATGAGGCATGGAATTGAATGCAGCCTGAAAATTAAAACGAGATAAGTGATCAGCAGCTATGTTGTGCTTCCCTGGGATGTGTTTCGCTCTGAAATGCACATTGTATCTTAGGGTTGACAATACCAGACGACGTATCAACCTCATGATGACCTTCTCTTTTGACGTTTGTTTATTGATAATTTGTACAACTGCTAAATTATCTGACATAAAGAGAACTTTTTTGTTTCTAAACTTATCTCCCCAAATCTCTATTGCTATTACAATTGGAAATAATTCTTTAATGGCTATTTGATATTCTGCCATGTCATCTTTCCAACGTGATGCAAACCATTCAGAACCCAAGATGGCTGCAAACCCTATTGATCCCGCCGCATCAGTAAAGAGAGTAAGGTGATCAGACGATAACCATTTTTGGGGCAGAAAAACAGATTTCCCATTGAATGTTTCGAGAAAGGTAAGCCAAGTGTTTATGTCTTCTTTTGTCTCTTCTGTGAGTTCAATCAACTCGTGAGGCTTTGAAACCCCACAGGTTAGGTCAATTAAACGTCTAAGGAAAGCCCTACCTGGGATAACAATCGAGCATGCAAAATTGAGCAATCCTATTAAAGACTGTAGATCACGTAATGTGCTACGCGTTTTGTTTTTCATTTCTCCAAGGTTTTTTCTTATTTTTTCTACTTTCACAGGAGGTAGACGTGCCTCCATTTTGACCGAGTCAACTTCTATGCCATAGATAGTGATTTTGGTAGTGGGGGGTTGAGTTTTTGACATTTTAATGGGTACCCCAATTTTTTTGCAAAGGAAAAGAAAATTTGTGAGATCATTCTTGCAATTGTCCGAGCCAGCTGGCCCAATGAAGAAGAAATCATCAAGGATATGTGACATACCTCCAGCTTGATATCTGAATTGCATTATCCACTGTAATGCAACACTAAGTTGTTCAAAAATTTGACAGGAACTACTAGCCCCCATAGGCAAACATTTATCAAAGTAAAATTGGCCTTGCCATGAAAAACCCAATAAATGGTAGTCACTGGGATTGACTGGGATAATTCTAAAAGCGTCCTGAATATCTGTTTTTACCATCAGACAATAAGCTCCATTCTGTTGGACAAGATGTATTACTAGGTCGATGGAGTCATATTGCACAACTGAATTTTCTTTTGGGATATTTATATTGACTGAATTGTCTCGGGGATAAGATAAGTCATGAATAATTCTGAATTGACCGGGTTCAGATTTAGGAACCACCCCCAAAGGGGATGATATGAAAGGATCAAAAGGAGGGCAAGGAAAGGGGCCTGCAATACGATTAAGTTCTAAGCTTTTGTGGATATGTGCATCTATGATATCACCATGACTTAATGCTGATGAATGGTTTTTGGACAAACGTGCAGTTGGAGTAGTGCTACAACCCAAAGAGAAACCAAATTTGAAACCTTCTACTAACAGTTGTTTTAGGTTTTTGTCATAACCCTCTAATTCTTCACTAAGTTTGTTTGGATTTACTGGCGTGGGAAGTGCGTGACTCTGCAGATTGTTGAGACCTACATTTGTGTTTTGGGTGTTGTCCCCTGCATATTTGACAGATGTGTGTGAAGGGACATGGTGTGGTTTTACATTTGTCACCTTGGTTAAAGGCGAAGCAGAATTTTGTTCTCCCCGCCTGTTTGGTACGAAAGGGCTGACTGTAAGGGGCAGGTTTTAACGTAATGCATTTTCCCCTCAATTCTTCGACCGGTTTTTGCCAGGGAAGTTCAGCTGTTTCTTTTAGTTTTCTGAAGGATTCATCATAAGCCCTCCAGGCTGAATCGCCATGTAGTTTGTGAAGTTCCCTAACAAAACTCATGTACTTTAATAGGTGAGGGGCCTCTGATGGGTCTTTTTCAATTTTAATGCAAATAAAGACCAAAAAGGCATCAGTCCACTGATTAATTGATAAGGGATTTTTTGTTTTTGGATTCTGTTGCAAGTTGATCACACCTGGTGATATTAACAAAGTAAGAGGGTTTTCCTCATGGTGCGGCAAAAGACACCGTAAATCAATGAATTCATTTGACCAAACTTTGGATTTTACCTTAGCTGATATGGCCGCACCAAGAGGAATCCCGTCAGTTACAGAAATGAAAGATTTATCTTTGTTTAAGCTAGATGAAACTGTGCCCACTGGCTCACCTTCATTTGTCCCAAAAATTTGAGAAACCAATGATGACACTGTCACATCTGTGGATGAGTTGTTTGCATATGTAGATGTGCTCTGACTTGTTGTGGCAGGCATTTGTTGTGTGGCATTGCTTGAGGTAGATGTGCTCAGACTTGTTATGGCAGGCATTTGTTGTGTGGTATTGCTTGAGGCATTTTGAATTACTGCTGGCGCTGGCTCTTGTACCGGGGCAGTTGGCAATTGTGCAGCTGTCAGAAGCGTTGGTTGAGTTAGTACTGTCTCATTACTGACATTATTTGTTACTGGTGGCACTGAAATTGTGGCACTAGCAGATGAACTGGTTGCTCTTTGTTGTTTCAGAATTTCTTCCGCCAGTTTCTGATAGTCAATTTCTTGCACGGAAACTGTCTTCTGTCTTTTCCGGGTGACTGTGTTGCTAGGCGTTGCTGCCTGTGGATCCCCTTGGGCTGCTGCTGCCTGTGGATCCCCTTGGGCTGCTGCTGCCTTTCTCCGTTTAGGCATGATCTACATTCTTATTGCATACAAGGATTCAGGAACCGACACACTATTTTTACAAAAATAGTAATAGCACACTACTCTGCGTGTGTTTGAGTATTATATCTCTAAGGGCACACTACTCTGCGTGTGTACAAGTTTTGTGTCTATATAACTTATAAAGGCACACTACTCTGCGTGTGTCTGTCTATTATTATTATATAAGGGCACACTTCTCTGTGTGCAACTGAATATTATGTGTATAGGTAAGGAAATATTACTCCGTATGATGTCCAATTGTTATGTCAATATAATATTACACTACTTTGCGTGTTTCATTTTCCATGTCACTACAGTAAAAAGAAGCACACTACTCTGTGTGAGAAATCAAGGGCACACTACTCTGCGTGTGACTGAATCGGGGCACACTACTCTGCGTGTAACTGATCGGGGCACACTACTCTGCGTGTGACTGAATCGGGGCACACTACTCTGCGTGCGTCTAAATCAGGGCACATATCTCTGCCTGTGTTTAAATAGGGGCACACTACTCAGCGTGTGACTTACCCAAATGACAAAAACAAAGCACAAAATTTCATGAGCGACTCTTACCTGACATTATTGTAAAAGAGAATGTACTAAACTATATGTTTGACATATACTTAATATTTTTCTTGAAAATTCACACTACTCTGCGTGTGTCTTTGTGGAATCAATTCATTTCTCACATAACACTCTATCAAAGAAAAGTATGTTTTAAATCATAGCATTACTTGCATTTTTTTTTTTTTTTTTTTTTTTTTTTAAATTTATAGTAACATACTCATCTTGAATGTTGCAGTACTGCAATTCTAATACTATGCATATATTTCTTCATATGCCTGGAGTCACCCTCAATATGAACTCCATCACGTCCCAGGTAGGACAGGTCCGCCCAAAATCCCCTGTGTGGCCAAAAATACACACCGTCTACTTTCCCTATTTCCTCTTTCAAAAGATTGTTCACTTTTACCACATCCTCGTTAAACTTGACACGAGAAGCCCATGGCTGACGGCGTAATAACTGTCCAACAATTACAGTTTTTATTCCAACACCATCGCGCAAGTATTGTGCATACGAAATTAAGTCCGTACATACTTTCCGAGGATTGTTTAGACTCAAGTCATTACTGCCCATCTGTATAAAACAAATATCGGGGGGTGCGTCAAACCGTAGAAATTCTGCACAGTGGGCTAGACGTTTGAATGTGAAACCACCGCGTGATCTGAAATCCACTTTGAAGGAGTCCATATCCAAATTTAAATTAGTCCTAAGATCACTTGCATCTATAAATTCTTTCAAACGGCGGATATAAGAATGTCCTAAGATGCACACAGTTCGAATGTTTACTTCGGGTTCGGCCGCCATTGCGTAACCCTGTTTTGCTGGACGGAGCCTGTCTATCCCTGGGACAAAAACACTCAAAAATCCACAAATCACTTACTTTACACTGATGTAATCTTGTTTTGTAGTCTTCGGATTGGTAAAACAATGCAATAAATTCGTAAAAAACGATAAAAACACTCCTGAAGACGTAAATTTCTAAAAACAAATTTGTGAATTTCTTGGCACTTCTAAATCAGTGAAAAGACGCTATCTTGTGTCACGTGATTTGAATAAGCGTTACGATTGGATAATTACAACTTTTTCCTAAAGGAGACAGCTAATGACACAATAAGACTCAAACAAACATGAAAGTTGAACTACATTACATCATAGATTACATAAAGGCTATTATTTACAATAATGCTGTATTTTGTTTTATTCAAAATTTACCTTTTGATACTTCTTAACTTAGAGCTAACCTTTTCACAAAGAGTAATATTTAAGTGCAGTGAATGGTGGACCCGGAATATCTTTTTAATGATTGCTTTATTTTTTGTTCCTTTTTTAGATAATTTTCAGAATTTACATTAAAAAAAAAAGAAATAAAACTTATTTACATTTGTATAGTTTATTGTGTTATGAATCTACGGTTATTTTGACTGCACTCATATTGGGAAATATGGATTGTTGAGCTTCCTCCATACAATGACAAAGATGTCCTTAGAAAATTTTCTCTGTATGCAAGACACAGGATCATTATTCGTCTTACCATTTAAAGAGATTTAAAGTTTTTTTTTCGACAAGACAGCGTTCGTAGTAAATTTAGAAAGAAAAAACCCACGCAGTATAAAATAAAATTCGCTAATTTTACTGTTACATGTATACATGTACATGTATATTTTTACAATTTTGATGCGATTTAAATATTCTTCAATTGTTTTACAAAGAATGTTAAAAAATATAAACATTTATTCTTACCGAAAACTATTAAATGTCACACATTATAGCTAACAATATCATTGTGTTTTGTAGATTAAATTTTGTTGATATTCCATATATCGGTAATACACGTTTTTACGACTTGTTCCTGTAAATTTGTACATGTTACAAATATTATTGAAATAATTTTCTCGTGTACATGTTTTTCTACAAATCGGCTACAGAGTGTTGGATTTAAATGTTTTAAGTTTTCTTTTGATTATATACATGTACATAAGAAAGAAAGAAATCTAAAGAGTTAGAATATAACATTACATTTGTAATCAAAAGAATTTTCGAAGTTGAGGTTATTGAAAAACCCTGTAACATCATTTATCTCTTCGAAATCAGTTCTAGGCAATTAAACCTCTTTCACTAGACCTGCGTGCCAGTGAAGGTCTAAATTCGAAAACCCTAGAAGAGGTATACGAGTCAAAATTTCTTGATCGAGATGTAAAACAACATTAATTTTCGAAAAAGTAAAAAAAAAAACTACTGATTTTTCATATTTTCTAAAAACTTCTTTGAAGTTTTGAGAATCCATGTATGATTTAGACTTTTATAGCACAGCGCGTCTGGATTTTTGGCCTTTACAGTTGTTAATCATTTTTTGATTTGTAAAAATCAAAGGTTTTGCAGAGCATTTGTTGGACCAAGCAAGACACCATTTCGTTGACTGGAATATTAAAAAGTTATTTAAGGCAGAAACGAAGGTTGTATCAAAGAAATTAATGATTATCATGTAAAAGGTGAACTGTGAATATATACGTATCGTATTTGAGATGCAGATGCAGATTCAAAACCCTGTTTCTTTGAAATACAGTTGTTTTAATTAGTTTTAACATCAAATATGATATAAT